AGTAATCCAATATATTGTGTCGCACGTACCCAACCTCAATTGCCTCCAATGTGCTATGTATCCGGCATTTAGGGACATACGTGCGTAGTGCGTTTTCTGTTCTTTTTTTCTTTTTTTTTTTCTTTTTGCTTTGTCGACTAATCGCAAGAGTAAGTTGGTGTATTAAGTTTCCCGATTATTTGTGGTGGGAACATGAGGCCAAGGGGACGCAGGGTGTGGAATATGGCCGGAAACAGTCGTTCGTCCATTTTGCACTCGGTTATATTTGTGCGTTGTGTGTTGTGTGAGTATGCTTACCTTGCCAAGGAAAAAGAGCAGGATAAGGGAAGTGACGGATGCAAAGAACATAAGAACAGGGGAAGACAGGAAGATGTCCTTGGCAGTGAAGATGGGGGGGATGCTGTCATCGATCGCTGGTTTTGAGTCCCCTACTGGTGACTCAGGTTTGATACCTGGTCCATATGATCCTTCTAAGCCCCTCCTGTATTTCCCTAAGTCTAGGTCTATTCCCAAGGCATCTCCTTTATTACCAGTACCAGTGCAACCTGGTTCAGAAGCAGAGCTGGAACTTGAACTGGGTGATGAACTGGAGGAACGTGCACGTCCGCCTCCTGCAGCGACTCCTGCGCACGGTTCGCCGCCCACGCGGGTGCCGCTTGGTGACGCCTGAGCGGGAATCTGGGATGGCGGTGGTGCAGGTGGTGGGGGTTGTTGTCCAGGTCCAGGTCCTTGACCTGCTCCTCCTGCGGCTGTGGTATCTGTCCTTCCTACTGGTGCTCCCGCTGGTTGTGATCCAGGAGGCTGTGATGGTGCTTGTGATGCTGCCTTTCCGGTCCCCTGTGATCCTGCGGCTCCCGCAGGGTTCTGTGTCTTAGTATCCTCGGATGATCCGCCCGCCCGGTCCTTGTCCTTGCCCTTTGCTGCGATAACGAAGGCAGAATGATAGAATGATGGTAGAAAGATGACAAAAAAAAAAAGACACAAGTGGTACAGAAAGAACGGGCCGCGACGGTTCGATCAGGTAGCGGGAGCGTACCGTCCGGCTCGATGCAGTGGGTCCGCTGCATGGATCGATGCATGGATCGATGCAGTGTGTCGAGGTGCACTCGGTGGACTGCGTACTCGGTGGACTAGGCTAGATGGTAGCAGTACAACGTTTATTTGTCGCCGTCCCTGCTCGCCGATCCGTGATCTCGTCCCTTCTGCCGCATCCGTCATCTCGTCTCCGGTGCCTCGTCGCCCCGACCGCTGCCGTCGTGGTCGCCACTCAAGGTCAACGAAGGGGATGCGTCGTGCTGTTCTCGCCGCGTGTTGTTGTGTTGTGGCCGCCTCATTAGCTGCGGGTGTTTCGCGGCCAATTGCAGTACCTGTATTACCGGTTGCTGACGTGCCCGGTGATGTTGATGTTGTTGTGGATGATGATCCTGATGATGACGATGTTGCCTGTGTTTCCCCCGGTGAGTGTGCGTTTTCATGTGGAGTTTTCGAACGGGAGTTCTTCGTTGTTTTGTTTTCCCGTTGCCACTGCCCGTCCTTCACTTTGTCTAATATGTTTTCTATTGCCTGCAGTTCCCCACCCTGCTCAAGCACCTCCTGCAGTAAGTCCTTTGTGTCCTGTTCTTTCAGATCCTTCGCCTTATTGATGAATGTCTTCAGTTGTTCCTGATCTTCACGTTTCAATACTCCTGCAACAGGCACACTGGCTTGGCTTGCGTCTGTCCTGCGTGTACCTTGTTGTCCTTTAGACCCCGGACAGACTCCTCCTTTGGCCGAACCTCTTTCAGTTGAAATGCTTCCTTCAGTTCTCAATTCTTGCATCCACTTTGCCATGGTTAAACCCACCAACTTGCTGCCAACCCTCAGGTCATTATAATGAATGTGTTCACATTTTTTACTATTATCGACTTGTTGGAACGACATTCGCAACCCGCTCATTGCTGTGGAAACATCCTTCACAATGTCTGCGTGTGCGCAGTTCTGCCCAAAGAGTTCCACTATGGCCACATTGCCCAACATGCACCTGAGATAATCCTCAAGCACCTCTTCATGCTTGAATATCCTACGCTGTTCCCATTTTTTCCCGTCCCAGTGAATTCCATCCATAAATAGAAAAACGTTCATGACCCTCTGGCAAACTTTCCTTTGCAGTGTATTAATGCGCGCGCTTTTTGCAGGATAAAGTGCTGCGCACGTGTCCTTAGTTAATTTATCTTCGATTTTCCATTGGTGCTTTAGCACGTCGAACAGTTGTCTGGTGTCGTTCCATATCATGTCCTACATTCCGAGTAATCCATATATGCATACAAACACGTGACAGTTCTCTCAGTACTACTTAAAAATGCCCGCCTCTCCTACATGACATTACTCACTCAGCCAATACACTCTGCCACCTTACATCAATAACACGGGCTGTATGCATTTATACATATACTGTACTCTTACATGCTCTCCACCGTCCACTCACTTATATATACGCTGAATGGAATGAATGTGCACTTTCTCATATATAAAACGATTCACCTCTATTACAAATGCCTGCCCCCACATTATACTGACTGAACCATACAAAACCATCCATAAGCATATTCTATCGATAGGAATACTCTTGTGTTCACCCTATACGCGTTCCACAAAGAATAACTATGTTCGCCCCTCTGTCCTGCTCTACATGAACTTACCCCATACTGTTCACCCTCGGACGCCTGCCTACGTGTTAAATATGCTGCTAGTGCAGCTGCGAACTCTGCTGTAGACATATTGTTCGACCCTTAGTTCTTTACACTGCATTAACTCTGATAACAATAGTATACTGCCGCATAGTCTGCATCATTACTCATCGATGCTACTTCCGGTTAACTATACCTTCTGGCTCACACTGCTGCACAATTCCTGTTATATGGTATCTGTATGAAATACAACCCACCCTTAAATTGTAATTTATATACTTCCTCCTTCTTCATCACACAGGACTCATGCAGAAGAGCACGAGTGCAGGAGTGTACACTACACGAAAAAGTCCAACTATGTGGAAGGTCCTGAATAATATTAATGCCGTAAGAAATATTTAAACAATGTTTTCTGCACATACAGGGTACTGGAAAATTATTAATGCCATATATGTCCCAGAAAAATCCAATAGCCTTATCTTCGATAGAATATATGCCACCCGTGTTTGGCATTAAAAATTGATGAAAAAAAAGAGAAAACAGAATGAAACAGGAAAAAAAAGGTATACTCGTGAACAGATAATAATATCACTTAAAAAAGAAAAAAAAAATAAATCTGTATACATATGTTCCCAAATAGAAACATTACATCCACCAGGGAAAATCTGCTCCAGAGTTAGCAGTTCATATACGACAAGGTCCTACGGTGGCCTCCCTACCTAGAAAGAACGTACACCAATTTCCTAACTTAATATTTCTGTCGAACACGGAGAAAAAGGAAGAAGGAAAATAAGGAAGAAAGAAAAGATAGAAAAGACAAAGCTAAGGAAAAAATAGAAAAAAAGTTACACTACACTACCTTACACACGCAACACCGTCATGAATACCACCCGCCGCCCCCCTGTGTACACCGGTCTCCACTAAACGCCTGTCACACACACGGTGTCGTGCTGTGCGCGTACACCTAAAACGAACGATAACATAAATTTCTGTCGTCTTTGCCGCCTTCCTTCCCTCGTTCTTGCTCCCGCACATAATATGTGTGTCCCTTCCTCCCCGTCCCCCGCTCCCTGCTCGCGCACGCGAATTCGTCCCGCGAAAGCCTTACTCGAATGCGTCCCTCGAACTCCCTTCACTCGAACCGCTTCACTCGGAGACAATGATTCCCTTTTTACACGCGGCTACTTCGTCGAATCGGTCTTAGCCTCGGCACAATGCTTACTCGGCTACTTCGTCGAAGCGTTGGTACTGCGGTAGTTACGCGGCCGCGTTGGTCGACGCGTTTGCTCGGAGAGACAATCTCTCCCTCCTTTCTTACACGCGGCTACTTCCTCGAACCCCTTCACTCGAACCGCTTTAGTCGGAGAAAATCCTCCTCCTTCTTACACGCGGACACTTCGTCGAACCCCTTCACTCGAACCGCTTTAGTCGGAGACAATCCTCCTCCGTTCTTACACTCGGGCAAGCATTCGTCGAATCCGTGCTACACTCGGCCGCGTGTGCGCGGAGAGACAATCGCTCCTGCGTTCTTACACGCGGCTACTTCGTCGAATCCGTCTTGCACTCGGACCGATGCGTTGCTCGGAGAGACAATCGTCTCCTCCTTTCTTACACTCGGCTACTGCGCAGAACCCCTTCTTACACTCGGCTACTGCGCAGAACCCCTTCTTACACTCGACGACAAGCGCTTGTACGAGGTTGCGGCAACGACGGAAGAAAACTTGATGTTGTTGTTATACTGCGGTTTTAGTGTAGAAGAAGGGGGTATTTGTTGTTAACGGCGGTATTTGTGGTTAAACTGGTATTTGTTGTTACG